GATCCTCTGAGAGTAATCTGATGTTTCTCTCTTATGCATTTTAGAATCTTCTTTTTGTTTCACTGTGGCGGTTTGATTACAATGTGTCATGGCAAGGATGTTTTCTGATCATGTCTATTCAAAGTTCTGTGTGCTTCCTGTACTTGGATGTCTCTTTCTTTTTCCAAACCCAGAAAGTTTTCTGGTAATATTTCACTAAAAATGCCTTCTAATCCTTTCTCTCTCACCATGCCTGCAGCAACTTCTAGAACCAGAATGTTGGTCTTATTTTTTTTATAGTATCCTGTAGATTCCCAACAGTCTTTTTTAGATTTCTAATCTCCTGTTCTTGTGTTTGGTTTGACTGCATACTTTCCTGTACTCTGTCTACTAAGTCTGGTATTCTCTCTTCTGCCTCACTGATTCTATTTTTAAGGCTCTCCACTGCATTTTTTACTTGTTGTATTGAAATCTTCATTTCATTTTGATTTCTTTTCAATATCTCAGTTTCATGTTCTGTTGAGTTCTTCATTTCATCTTGATTCCTCCTGATAATTTCTACTTCGTGGGAGAGATCTTCTTTCATGTCCTTCATGGATTTCAGTAGTTTGTGCATTTCCTTTGATTACTTCTATGTAATGTTATGACCAAATTTTTGAGTTCTATTTCTTGCATTTCTTCTCTCATCATCTTCATGACCTTGTATTGAAATGTCATGTTCTTTTGGGAGCATGATGATGTTTTCCTTATTCTTGCTTCTTGGATTCTTGCATTTGGCATTTGTGGAAATACTCGTCTTTTTTTTTTTTTTCCTGGCAGTTTTTATCATTGTATTATAACTGTAGATAAATGGACTTTCTGCTTTCACTGAATCTCTAGAGGCTTGTAGTGGGTGTGGCCAGAGAGCTCTGTTCAGTTTTCAAGGGTAAAGGGTATGCCTAAGGTGACACACCCAGGTTTGGCATAGTAAATCTCTTTTTTTAATCAGAAGGGAGTTATATTCTGTTCAGCTCAGTTCTTCTCTTCAATGGAGACCAGTGCCTGAGTACTAAATCAAGTGGGTATACTATTCACTATGTCCCAAGGACCACATAAGGATCTGTGCTCTCAATGTGGGACCTCTGTCCTTAGCGAGAATTAACATTAAATCTAGTCTTCAAACACCTGTTTATCTGGGAGCATAGGAAAAAGTGCTCAGGCAAGTAATATTGTGAAAAATTAGTTCTAAGTAATATGACAGATAACCCAGACAAAACAGCAGTCCAGCAAATCATTCAACCTCACTGAAACTACCAGCAGCTACATCATTCATTTTCTATTAAATCTGTTTATAATAAGATTTAATTTGATGAACACTTGTAAGAAGCTGTGGGGACTTAAACAGGGATGAAGAGCTATTTCTTATGGGTAGTAATGGAGCTGGAATGGATTAGTTGCACAGCTAATATCTAGATGGGAAATAAAAGAGCTACTGCAGCTAGATGCATCATAGCATTTGTAGCCCCGTTATCATGGGATAGCCAAGCAACCTAGGAAAAGTGTTCCTCCTGTGGGTATCCTGAGGAACTACCTGAATGTAAATCAGATTTATATTAATCCAGAAAGGACTTTGTAAATCAGAAGGAATAAAAACACACATTTTCAATAAAAATGAGGGTCACCTGCAGGAGCAGGGAATAATGCAACAAAAAAAGGCTATAAAAATTATAAATTAAATTAATACAAAAGTGTACTACAGGGGCCAGCACTGTGTCACAGCAGGTTAATGCCCTGACCTGAAGTGCTGGCATCCCATATGGGTGCTGGTTCAAGACCCAGCTGCTCCACTTCCAATCTAGCTATCTGCTATGGCCTGGGAAATAGTAGAAGGCCCAAGTGCTTGGGTCCCTGCACCTACATGGGAGACCTGGAGGAAGCTCCTGGTTTTGGATCAGCACAGTTCTGGCCATTGTGGCCAATTAGGGGTGAACCATTGGATGGAAAATTCTCTCTCTCTGCTTCTGCTGTTTCTCTATAACTCTGACTTTCAAATAAATGAATCTTTTTAAAAAAATACTACATTTATGCTCCTGCTTCTCTATTGCAATGGGTACCACATGGATAGACTTCATTCCATGTTCTTGTCTCAAGGCAATTAGGAATAGAATGAAAAAGCATGGAAAAGTGGCATCATGAATGAAAAAGGCATTATGCACTCAGTAATACAGGAAAATTCAGATGAGTGTGGCAACTTATAGGGTTTGAGGTTGTCCCTTTAAAGATTGAGGGTAATGTGTGTGGCAACATCTACTTGCATATTCAAATAGACCTTGGGTAGTGGAGTCTAATCCAGATGTGCACACAGATAAGTTGAAATTTCTCATGGGTATATATGTCACCACACACTCATTCCCTTGTGTTGCACACAACACTTATTATCCAGAGCCAGGGTACACTATTATGGCTGGAACATGTGTCACTTGATATGCCTATGGTCACATCACTGGCTTGCACTACAATAATGTGGGGAAAGAATCCTGGGTGGCCAAAAAAGCAGCTATAAAACAAATAACAGTAATTCATGAAGATGGTATTCCAAATAACTGTTGAAGTAACTGTTACTCAACTTTTAAATATTTATTAACAAAATTTACACAAGAGAGCACAGTTCAGTTTGTATACTTGATCCCACTCACAATAAAGAGAAACCAAAAGTTCAGGTTGTATGAGAGAAAAATTTCTGAAAAACAGTTACCACTCTCTGTCACAATTCATCATGAAAACTGCCCAATACTCACTAAGGTGTGATTCCACCAAAGAATTCTTCCAGACAAATTATATTTCAGGGAATTCTCTCTGTAATCTTGCTATGTTCTGTGGAAGTTTGCCTAATAATAAAGGTATTTCCCATTACAATACAGTCATAGGATTTTTTCTTTCTGTGAGTTGTCAGGTAACCATTGAGAGGTGACGTATGGTACATGACTTTTATATGTATGTATGTTTTCTCATTTTGGAGTCTCTTCATGTGAATTGATTAATGGCAGAAAAATTTTTTCACATTCATTAAATTGACATTTTACTGTATGAATTCTCTGGTGTTAGTTGATGTATAATTTCTTGTTTTTCTTTTTAAAATTTTTATTTATTTAACAGGTAGACTTATAGACAGTGAGAGAGACAGAGATAAAGGTCTTCCTTCTGTTGGTTCACTCCTCAAATGGCCACAATGGCCAGAGCTGCACTGATCTGAAGCCAGGAGCCAGGTGCTTCTTCCTGGTCTTCCACGTGGGTGCAGAGGCCCAAGCACTTGGGCTGTCTTCTACTGCTTTCCCAGGCCACAGTAGAGAGCTGGATTGAAGAGGGGCAGCTGGGACTAGAACTGGCACCCATATGGGATGCCAGCATAGCAGGTGGAGGGTTAACCTATTGCTCCACGGCTCCGGCCTGATGTTTAATTTCTGGCTATGGTTTTTTGAGGTCTATTGCACTTGAAGGATATCACCTTTTTTGAGTTGCATATTTATGCAAGCCAGAATTCTATGAAAATATACTTCCACATTCATTACACTCCTAAGAAACCCCTTGTGTGAATTTTCTGATGTATAATGCCATTTCTGACAAATGGCTTTTTGTCACACTAATAATATTTCTGAACTTCTTCATTTTTTAACAATTTACTTTATTTATTTGAAAGAGTTAGAGACAGAGAAGCAGAAAGAGGTCTTCCATTCACTAGTTCACTCCCCAATTGGATGCAATGGCTGGAGCTGCAGGGATCCAAAGCCAGGAGTCAGGAGCTTCTTCTGGGTCTCCCATGTGGGTGCAAGGCCATCTTCTACTGCTTTCCCAGGCCATAGCAGAGAGCTGGATCAGAAGAGGAGCAACTGGGACTAGAACCAGTGCCCACATGGTATGCTGGCATTTCAGGCCAGGGCTTTAACCTACTGTGCCACAGCGCTGGTCCCAACCTTTCTTCCTTATGGGAATGCCTATTGTATGGGATGTAATTTCCAGCAAAAGGCTCCGTCACATGGTTATGTTGATTTTGGAAAAAGTCCTTCACATTCATTATATTCTTAAGTTCTCTCCCTTGTTTGATCTACATGTTATGAGGTATTCCTTCTGACAAAAGGCTTTCCCACATTTATTACAAGATTTACACCATGTAATAAATTCTCTGATGTTATATTGTATGATTTTGGCAGAGTTTTCCAACAATCATTCCATTCATAAGGTTTCTCCCCCATGTGAATTCTAATGTTTTATGAGGTGTTACTTATGGATAAAGGCTTTTCCATATGCATTATATCCAAGTGTTTTCCCCCATATGAATTAGATGATGTGCAATGAGGGCTGAATTATGGGAAAAAGCTTTCCAAGTCATTATGTCCAAAAGGCTTCTCTTCATGTGAATTTTCTGATGCATTCTGAGATGTGACTTACTGCCAAGGGCTTTTCTACAGTCATTGCATTCATAAAGTTTCTCCCAAGTGTGAATTCTCTGGTGTGACATGAACTATGATTTATAACATATGATTTATAAAAGCTTTTCCACACTTACTAGATTCACAAGGTTTCTGCCCTGTGTGAATGGTTTTGATATGAGTATAACTTATAGAAAAAAAGGCTTTTCTGCAGTCATTACATTTATAAGGTTATTTCCCTGTGTGAATCCTCTGATGCATTTGGAGTTGGAACTTAAGTTTTTCCACAGTCATTACACTCATGAAGATTCAATACTGTGTGCATTCTCTGGTGCATTATGAGGTTTAACTTTTGTCCAAAGGCTTTTCCACAGTCATTACATTAATGAGGTTTCTGCCCTTTGTGAATTCTCTAATGTAATATGAGCTATCACTTGAGTCCAAAGCCTTTTCCACAGTCATTACATTCATGAGGTTTCTCCCCTGTGTGAATGTGATGGTGTATGATGAAGTTTGCCTTTAGTCCAAAGGCTTTTCCACAGTCACTACATTTATGAGGTTTCTCCCCTGCGTGAATTTTCTGGTGTATAATGAGGTCTGACGTTCGTCTAAAGGCTTTTCCAGAGACATTACGTTTATGAGGTTTCTCCCCTGTGTGAATTCGCTGATGTAAGAGGAGGTTTGACTTTTGTGTAAAGGCTTTTCCACAGTCATTACATTTATGAGGTTTCTCCCCTGTGTGAATTTGCTGGTGTATGATGAGGTCAGACTTTCGTCCAAAGGCTTTTCCACAGTCATTACATTTATGAGGTTTCTCCCCTGTGTGAATTTGCTGGTGTACGATGAGGTGTGACTTTTGTCCAAAGGCTTTTCCACAGTCATTACATTTATGAGGTTTCTCCCCTGTGTGAATTCGCTGGTGTATGATGAGGTCTGACTTTTGTCCAAAGGCTTTTCCACAGTCATTACATTTGAGGTTTCTCCCCTGTGTGAATTCTCTGGTGTATGATGAGGTGTGACTTTCGTCCAAAGGCTTTTCCACAGTCATTGCATTAATGAGGTTTCTCTCCTGTGTGAATTCTCTGGTGTACTATGAGGTCTGACTTCCACAGAAAGCCTTTTCCACATTGGAGGCATTTATGAGGTTTCTCTCTGGTGTGAATTTGCTGATGGTTTATGAGGTATGGCTTTTGTGTAAAGACTTTTACATAGTCATTACATTTATGAGTTTTTTCCCCTGTGTGAATTCTCTGGTGTATGATGAAGTGTGACTTTTGTGTAAAGGCTTTTCCACAGTCATTACATTTATGAGGTTTCTCCCCTGTGTGAATTCGCTGGTGTGTGATGAGTTCTGACTTTTGTCCAAAGGCTTTTCCACAGTCATTACATATATGAGGTTTGTCCCCTGTGTGAATTCGCTGGTGTATGATGAGGTCCGACTTTCGTCTAAAGGCTTTTCCACAGTCATTACATTAATGAGGTTTCTCCCCTGTGTGAATTAGATGGTGTATGATGAGGTTTGACTTTTGTCCAAAGACTTTTCCACAGTCATTACATTTATGAGGTTTCTCCCCTGTGTGAATTCTCTGGTGTCTGATGAGTTCTGACTTTTGTCCAAAGGCTTTTCCACAGTCATTGCATTTATGAGGTTTCTCCCCTGTGTGAATTCGCTGATGTTTCCAGAGGCCTGACTTTTGTCCAAAGGCTTTTCCACAGTCATTACATTTATGAGGTTTCTCCCCTGTGTGAATTCGCTGGTGTATGATGAGGTCTGACGTTCGTCTAAAGGCTTTTCCACAGTCATTGCATTTATGAGGTTTCTCCCCTGTGTGAATTCGCTGATGTAAGAGGAGGTTTGACTTTTGTGTTACAAAAAAGTCAAACCTCCTCTTACATCAGCGAATTCACACAGGGGAGAAACCTCATAAATGCAATGACTGTGGAAAAGCCTTTAGACGAACGTCAGACCTCCTCTTACATCAGCGAATTCACATAGGGGAGAAACCTCATAAATGTAATGACTGTGGAAAAGCCTTTGGACAAAAGTCAGGCCTCTGGAAACATCAGCGAATTCACACAGGGGAGAAACCTCATAAATGCAATGACTGTGGAAAAGCCTTTGGACAAAAGTCAGAACTCATCAGACACCAGAGAATTCACACAGGGGAGAAACCTCATAAATGTAATGACTGTGGAAAAGTCTTTGGACAAAAGTCAAACCTCATCATACACCATCTAATTCACACAGGGGAGAAACCTCATTAATGTAATGACTGTGGAAAAGCCTTTAGACGAAAGTCGGACCTCATCATACACCAGCGAATTCACACAGGGGACAAACCTCATATATGTAATGACTGTGGAAAAGCCTTTGGACAAAAGTCAGAACTCATCACACACCAGCGAATTCACACAGGGGAGAAACCTCATAAATGTAATGACTGTGGAAAAGCCTTTACACAAAAGTCACACTTCATCATACACCAGCGAATTCACACAGGGGAAAAAACTCATAAATGTAATGACTATGTAAAAGTCTTTACACAAAAGCCATACCTCATAAACCATCAGCAAATTCACACCGGAGAGAAACCTCATAAATGCCTCCAATGTGGAAAAGGCTTTCTGTGGAAGTCAGACCTCATAGTACACCAGAGAATTCACACAGGAGAGAAACCTCATTAGTGCAATGACTGTGGAAAAGCCTTTGGACGAAAGTCACACCTCATCATACACCAGAGAATTCACACAGGGGAGAAACCTCAAATGTAATGACTGTGGAAAAGCCTTTGGACAAAAGTCAGACCTCATCATACACCAGCGAATTCACACAGGGGAGAAACCTCATAAATGTAATGCCTGTGGAAAAGCCTTTGGACAAAAGTCAGGCCTCATAATACACCAGCGAACTCACACAGCTGTGAAACCTCATAAATGTAATGACTGTGGAAAAGCCTTTGGACACAAGTCACACCTCATCATACACCAGCGAATTCACACAGGGGAGAAACCTCATAAATGTAATGCCTGTGGAAAAGCCTTTGGACACAAGTCAGGCCTCAGGAAACATCAGCGAATTCACACAGGGGAGAAACCTCATAAATGTAATGCCTGTGGAAAAGCCTTTGGACACAAGTCAGGCCTCATCATACACCAGTGAATTCACACAGGTCAGAAACCTCATAAATGTAATGACTGTGGAAAAGCCTTTGGACAAAAGACTAACCTCATATCACAGCAGAGAATTCACACAGGATAGAAAACTCAATTGTAGTAACTGAGGAAAGCATTTAGCCATAAGTCAACCTTCATCATGCATCAGAGAATTCACACAAGGCACAAACCTTATGAATGTAATGACTGGAAAAGCCTTTGGACAAAAGTCAAACCTGAATGCACCAGAGAATGCACACAGTATTGAATCTTCATGAGTGTAATGACTGTGGAAAAACTTTTGGTCTTAAGTTCCAACTCCAAATGCATCAGAGGATTCACACAGGGAAATAACCTTATAAATGTAATGACTGCAGAAAAGCCTTTTTCTATAAGTTATACTCATATCAAAACAATTCACACAGGGCAGAAACCTTATGAATCTAGTAAGTGTGGAAAAGCCTTTATAAATCATATGTTATAAATCATAGTTCATGTCACACCAGAGAATTCACACTTGGGAGAAACTTTATGAATGCAATGACTGTAGAAAAGCCCTTGGCAGTAAGTCACATCTCAGAATGCATCAGAAAATTCTCATGAAGAGAAGCCTTTTGGACATAATGACTTGGAAAGCTTTTTCCCATAATTCAGCCCTCATTGCACATCATCTAATTCATATGGGGGAAAACACTTGGGATATAATGCATATGGAAAAGCCTTTATCCATAAGTAACACCTCATAAAACATCAGAATTCACATGGGGGAGAAACCTTATGAATGGAATGAATGTTGGAAAACTCTGCCAAAATCACACAATATAACATCAGAGAATTTATTACATGGTGGAAATCTTGTAATAAATGTGGGAAAGCCTTTTGTCAGAAGGAATACCTCATAACATGTAGATCAAACAAGGGAGAGAACTTAAGAATATAATGAATGTGAAGGACTTTTTGCAAAATCAACATAACCATGTGATAGAGCCTTTTGCTGGAAATTACATCCCATACAATAGGCATTCCCATAAGGAAGAAAGGTTGGGACCAGCGCTGTGGCACAGTAGGTTAAAGCCCTGGCCTGAAATGCCAGCATACCATGTGGGCACTGGTTCTAGTCCCAGTTGCTCCTCTTCTGATCCAGCTCTCTGCTATGGCCTGGGAAAGCAGTAGAAGATGGCCTTGCACCCACATGGGAGACCCAGAAGAAGCTCCTGACTCCTGGCTTTGGATCCCTGCAGCTCCAGCCATTGCATCCAATTGGGGAGTGAACTAGTGAATGGAAGACCTCTTTCTGCTTCTCTGTCTCTAACTCTTTCAAATAAATAAAGTAAATTGTTAAAAAATGAAGAAGTTCAGAAATATTATTAGTGTGACAAAAAGCCATTTGTCAGAAATGGCATTATACATCAGAAAATTCACACAAGGGGTTTCTTAGGAGTGTAATGAATGTGGAAGTATATTTTCATAGAATTCTGGCTTGCATAAATATGCAACTCAAAAAAGGTGATATCCTTCAAGTGCAATAGACCTCAAAAAACCATAGCCAGAAATTAAACATCAGGCCGGAGCCGTGGAGCAATAGGTTAACCCTCCACCTGCTATGCTGGCATCCCATATGGGTGCCAGTTCTAGTCCCAGCTGCCCCTCTTCAATCCAGCTCTCTACTGTGGCCTGGGAAAGCAGTAGAAGACAGCCCAAGTGCTTGGGCCTCTGCACCCACGTGGAAGACCAGGAAGAAGCACCTGGCTCCTGGCTTCAGATCAGTGCAGCTCTGGCCATTGTGGCCATTTGAGGAGTGAACCAACAGAAGGAAGACCTTTATCTCTGTCTCTCTCACTGTCTATAAGTCTACCTGTTAAATAAATAAAAATTTTAAAAAGAAAAACAAGAAATTATACATCAACTAACACCAGAGAATTCATACAGTAAAATGTCAATTTAATGAATGTGAAAAAATTTTTCTGCCATTAATCAATTCACATGAAGAGACTCCAAAATGAGAAAACATACATACATATAAAAGTCATGTACCATACGTCACCTCTCAATGGTTACCTGACAACTCACAGAAAGAAAAAATCCTATGACTGTATTGTAATGGGAAATACCTTTATTATTAGGCAAACTTCCACAGAACATAGCAAGATTACAGAGAGAATTCCCTGAAATATAATTTGTCTGGAAGAATTCTTTGGTGGAATCACACCTTAGTGAGTATTGGGCAGTTTTCATGATGAATTGTGACAGAGAGTGGTAACTGTTTTTCAGAAATTTTTCTCTCATACAACCTGAACTTTTGGTTTCTCTTTATTGTGAGTGGGATCAAGTATACAAACTGAACTGTGCTCTCTTGTGTAAATTTTGTTAATAAATATTTAAAAGTTGAGTAACAGTTACTTCAACAGTTATTTGGAATACCATCTTCATGAATTACTGTTATTTGTTTTATAGCTGCTTTTTTGGCCACCCAGGATTCTTTCCCCACATTATTGTAGTGCAAGCCAGTGATGTGACCATAGGCATATCAAGTGACACATGTTCCAGCCATAATAGTGTACCCTGGCTCTGGATAATAAGTGTTGTGTGCAACACAAGGGAATGAGTGTGTGGTGACATATATACCCATGAGAAATTTCAACTTATCTGTGTGCACATCTGGATTAGACTCCACTACCCAAGGTCTATTTGAATATGCAAGTAGATGTTGCCACACACATTACCCTCAATCTTTAAAGGGACAACCTCAAACCCTATAAGTTGCCACACTCATCTGAATTTTCCTGTATTACTGAGTGCATAATGCCTTTTTCATTCATGATGCCACTTTTCCATGCTTTTTCATTCTATTCCTAATTGCCTTGAGACAAGAACATGGAATGAAGTCTATCCATGTGGTACCCATTGCAATAGAGAAGCAGGAGCATAAATGTAGTATTTTTTTAAAAAGATTCATTTATTTGAAAGTCAGAGTTATAGAGAAACAGCAGAAGCAGAGAGAGAGAATTTTCCATCCAATGGTTCACCCCTAATTGGCCACAATGGCCAGAACTGTGCTGATCCAAAACCAGGAGCTTCCTCCAGGTCTCCCATGTAGGTGCAGGGACCCAAGCACTTGGGCCTTCTACTATTTCCCAGGCCATAGCAGATAGCTAGATTGGAAGTGGAGCAGCTGGGTCTTGAACCAGCACCCATATGGGATGCCAGCACTTCAGGTCAGGGCATTAACCTGCTGTGACACAGTGCTGGCCCCTGTAGTACACTTTTGTATTAATTTAATTTATAATTTTTATAGCCTTTTTTTGTTGCATTATTCCCTGCTCCTGCAGGTGACCCTCATTTTTATTGAAAATGTGTGTTTTTATTCCTTCTGATTTACAAAGTCCTTTCTGGATTAATATAAATCTGATTTACATTCAGGTAGTTCCTC